CTCCCCCAGCCTCCCTCAGCTTCTCTTTCCTGGCCCTCGGACCCCCTCTCCCCGCAGTCCCCCTCCCCCCCATGCACCTCCCCTCCCCAAGCTGGGAGCTGTGGGGCAGACATGCCCCGCCACGGTGCCTCCTGCTGGTAGTGCTGGGAATAGCTCTCGCCAGCCCACGGGGCACCTCCCTCTGCCTGGTGTCTCCCCTCTCACCCCGTTCTCCCGTGCCAGACCCACGGCGCTCCCAAACCTCTTCAAGGCTCTGCCCTCCAGCAGCGCCCGCTGCAGTGTCTCTCAGCCCCCTTCCGGGGGGGGGGTTTATCAGTCTCTGCACTCAGGGGTCCTCCCCTCCCAGGGAACCCCCAGTTCCCCTGTACCCGCCTTGCCTCCGTGAGCCACCGCCCATCTTCACTAGCCCCTGCCTGAGGGCAAGAGGCAGCCTGACATGGCCACTCAGCACTGGCAAGGGAGTGGGGACTTGTCTCTCTGCAGCCCAGTATCCTCAGGGCGCCCCAGCTCTGCCTGCCTTCCCCCAGCCCTGCTCCATCTCAGGAAGCCCCCAGTTTCCCCTGGCACCCCGGTCCCGCCTGCCTCCCAAAGCTCTTAACCCAGCCCCCCGCTGGGCCCTAATGAGCGATATCAGCTTCAGCCTTAGACTTTGCTGGGTTTGCTGGGTTTTAGCCTTAAAGAGCCAGTGTGGGGCAGGTGCCCCATCACACCCCCACCCCAACACACAAGGGGCTTGGAGAGTGGAGGGCCTCAATCTCTTGGTGGGGGGGGGGCTTTCCCCTGCATAGGGATGCCAGATAGCTTCACAAAAAAATCCCAAACAGGCAGGGAAAAATTGTTTGAGCCAAGAAAAAAAAAAGGCACCGTGCCTTTAAATTTCCTCTCTCCCTCCCACCCTCGCGGACGCCGCCAGCTCTCCGTCCAAAGAAAACAGAAATACTGGACATTTTACACGTCTCTTTTTTTTACCGGATGGAAGGCCAAAATACCGAACTGTCAGGGCGAAAACCGGACACCTGGCAAGCCTACCCCTGCAGTCAACCCCCCCATCTTCCCTGCCCTCATCTCGCCCTTCCGAGTAAGCTCACCAGCTCAGCCCTGAGCTGGGTATCACAGGCCGGTGCTGGAGACCCAAGCCAGGGACCGGAGCCGACAGCCAGATCTGCCTCTGGGCTGGAGAACTGCTTCCGTCTCCTCTCCCCTGCTCCAGGCCCCCGGTACCCGCCCTGAGTGGGTGGGGGAGGGGGGGTACAGAAGCAGCTGCTTTTCTGTGGACACGCATGGGTATTAACCAGGCCTTTGTCACACCCCTTCCCACAGCCTGTCGGCAGCCAAATCTGCAGGAGTCCCCGCTGAAGACAGAGGGGAAACTCCAGGGGAACGTGAGTAAGGAAGGCTGGGGCGGAGGGTGACCGGGGGGCGGACTGACAGGTGAGTGCAGATGCCATGGTAGGGAGGGGGGATGCAAAGTGACCCCATATCCGCAGAGAGGCACTCTCGTCAGGGCTCAGCTGCAGCGAGGGGGAGGACAGGCCTGCCCACCCCCGCCAACCTGCCCATCCTGTCTCACCCCAGGATCTGCCCGCTCTCCTGCTGGGGACCGTGAAGGAGCTGGAAGGTGCCAAAGTGCAGGTGCTGAACAGGCTGCACATCTGGAAGCGGCAGCAGCAGCTGGCGGGGAACGGGGCTGTGTTTGAGGAGAACCTGGCGCCACTCCAAAAGAGGTGAGCCTGGGGACAGGAGCAGGAGGGGCACAGGGACTCTGGGGGCTCCCCTCTCCCTCCCAGCACTGACAACCCTTGGCTGCGCTCTGACTGCTGGTGGGTGCGGTGGGATCTGCACCGCTGTCTTGCCTGCGTGGGGCTGGGAACCACAGACCAGGCTCCCGGCCCAGCACCCTGGTCGGCTCAGACGTGTCCCCACCCGGCTGCTTTCTTGGCAGGTGTGAGAGTCTGGCCACGCAGTGCTGAGCGCCCTGGTGGAAAGGTACCGCAGGGCAGGGCCCTGGCTGGGGGCAGCAGCGCTCCTGGGGGGCTCAGAGGGGCTGCTGCAGCAGAGGGGGACTGGACTTGAGGGCTCCCCTCTGGGCCGGAGTCTGCTTGGCCCTTTTGTGAAGGTGAAGAGACAGGAGCAAAGCACTTCCCAGGCTCCTCCAAGGGGATAGTGACAATGTGCCCCCCACTCGAACCACCAGCCCCCACTGTCCTCCCAGAGCTGGGGGAAGAACCCCGGAACCCTGGCTCCAGTCCACCTGAACCACTAGGCCCCACTCCCGTCCCAGAGCCAGAAATAGAACCCAGGTGCCCCGGGTCCCAACCCACCTATTGCCCGCCCGCACCCCCCCCCCCCCCCACACACACACACAGCCCTGCCCGGAGCTGGGGGAAGAACTCAGGTCTCCTGGCTCTCAGCAACCTTCCTGCTCTAACCTCTAGGCCCCACTCCCTTCCCAGAGCCAGAAATGGAACCCAGGAGTCCCGGCTCCCAGCCCGCTGCACTGACCATCCCACCTTGCTCCTCCCCAGCCAGGAGGGTGAATGGGGAGATGGGGGGGCTCGGTGGGGAACGGGAGGAGGAGGAAGTTGGGAGGCTGATTCTGAGGGGCCGAGGAGTCTGGGATGGGACCCTCAGCTCCTGCCTCGGTGGAGGGACCCGCCGGCTCCCGGGCC